GTAAATTTTTGAAAACTTAATATGAGACCCTAATGATCTGGATCGAGTCTACCCACACAGGCAGAGCTATTGTGCAAAGCTATCGCTGTGTAATCGGGTAGCCCGAAATGCTCTTTCTTTTCAACGTAATGTTGACAGCAATCCATGTTACTTACAAGTAAGGTGTAAGCAACAAAACATTTGTCACAGACGGTTAGGACTCCTTCCAACTGCTAAAGTCTTTTTGAGGTAAGTAATTATACCTTAGAATTTAATCAATGTTTGACACGCTGTAGTTAGCATTTCTTCTGACCAAGGTTACAACTAGTCGTCTGCTTTACTATGTGCAAGAGAGAGAGAGAGAGAGAGAGAGAGAGAGAGAGAGAGAGAGAGAGAGAGAGAGAGAGAGAGAGAGAGAGAGAGAGAGAGAGAGAGAGAGAGAGAGAGAGTTGTTTAAATGTGTTTCTCCGTATGCGTGCCAAAAATTGAAATTTCGATGAGATGATACATGGCCGACCCGGTTTTGAGCAATTTTTTTTTTATTTTCTCGAACCACCACCCCTCATTTCCCCCGTCAGATTTTTATTATTAATATTATGGTATTTTGGCTGATGTATATATATATATATATATATATATATATATATATATATATATATATATATATATATATATATATATATATATATATATATATATATATATATATATATATATATGAAAATTCAGCTTAAAATATTGATGTTGCTGTAGTTGCCACCAATAGTATATTGCTTACAAACGCACCTTGAACGCGAACGACGTCATCTGCCCACGATTGTGGATAACCATCTGAACTACATAAGACTTTCGCTATAGTCTAATCAACTGGGTTTTTTATTATTTTTTTTTTGTTTGCGAGCGCGCTATAACCTTATAGTGATACATTTTCTCGGAATTACCTTGAATATTTAGAATGATTAGTTTCACTGAGTGACCCAGCCTGAATGTGAGACTTATAAAAATGGCACTAACGGCTGCCATGCAAGGCTCTCATCATTAAGAGGTCAGTGTTAGGACGGATCGGAGTGGTGTCAGAATGATGTGACTGGATGGGAAATCATGCTATATGTCTGCGGCATGATGGCAGAGAGCTAAACGTCAGCTATTAACTGCCATACTACAAAACATCGTAGCAACATGACTGAAAAATTGTTAAAGCTACGTTAAAAATCCATATCACACACATACACACACGCACGCACGCACACATACTAGCCTAAATCTATGTAAGGACCTATCCCATAAAATTAATAAGCTTATGGAGTTGTTAACAATTAAGATTGCACCTTTGGAGACTGACTTTGAAAGACCTGGTTTGAAAAAGTTGCACTAGCTTGAGTATTAAATACCTGATGTCACTATTGCAAGATACCAGTTGCTCTCCACGAATAAGGAACAATAATGAGTGTATTTGAACACTGCAGCGATAACATCATCAATTGTTTAAAATGTAAGATGTAAAATTGACCTTATGATATTGTTTGGGGCAACCCTGAACCTAAAAGTCCATCTCTAAACAATTTTAGTAAAAAAAAAATGGGGAGGAGAGGGTTTTTAAATTTATAACGACTTTAATGCGCAAACGTTTGAGTCACAACGGATGAAAGAACCTTTGAACTGGTAATGCCGACTTGCACATTCCCTATGTAGAGACAATTTCAAGTAAAGAAGGTCGGATATTGTGTCTTTTAGACTGAGATATTCTGCATTTGAAGTGATTAAATCTTTTCAAGGCAAATAATGGCTGACCGCTTTATCAGCATACATACTCTTATCTCCTTCCGTCCTGGTCGCTTACGGCATTGATGTTTGTGATAATGCAAGTGCAGCACTACACAAGGAACAAGAACGATAGAAGAAAAGAATATTAATGTCATCAGCCAACAAAGTGGAGTTATGTCAAATGAATGGTCTGGTTGAGAATTTGCTCAAACAATGGGAATTTTTTTTTATGCCTGTAGAACCATTGTAACCAACCATTATTTTGGCTGTAGCGATGGTGCTAACTTGGGCATAACCGACTTTTGATCCGGAAATCGGGATCCACCAGATAGTATGAACTTCTGATTAATTGGAGTCGGACAAGGTAGGAACGAACGATTCGGATAATAAAAATAATAAAGTTGAATTTCTATAGCACCGTGTCTAACACTGCGTGTCATTCGATATTATATTAATAAAGTTAAATAAGAAGTCAGAAAAGTCCAATAGGGTCAACACAACGGGGTGAAACGATAACACTTGAGTTAGACCGAAAGATTTAAATTTATAAAAAATATTGTAATGCGCATAAAGAAATTTAATAATCATAATGTATAACTTCCAAGTTCTTTGCATGAAACAGTTACATCTCCATTTTTCAGCAGACATGCTCGATCGTTTGTCGTTGCAAATAGTACCTGCGGTGCTACAAAATTCTTTCACTATCGACTATAGAGGGCGGTATTGAACAAAAAAGTTTAGCGACAGCTGCCAGAAGCTGGAACGTTTTTTTTTCCTCGGGATTTCCAGTATATAACTGGCTTGGTGGTAACGTCCTCGGCTGATTTTTCTCAGCTAGATACGAATCCAATTCGTGCTGGCACGTGAATTCAGATGACAGGGATGCAGAGGCGAGATTTTGGTCGGATGTGCTAGAGGCAAATAACTCCTGGTAGTAGGCATTTCCGATTAATCAAATCGTATCCGGAATCGGAAAAATTTCATGCCCAAATGTCGGAATCGGAAATCGGTGAAAAATGTTAATCGGTTATGCCCTAGTGTTAATGACCGAAAAGTTCATTGTCCATATCATTATGTATAATACGTGAAAGAAACGTCTGTGTCTGCCTGGGCATATCCAGAAAAACCGAAATGAGCAGGCCATGACGTGATGAATTAAGATCTGCATCTGAATTCATGACGTTACGACGTAATCAGTGTCACAATAAGATCCATGGTAGAATTTTTGAGAGGAATCTGTCAGGTATAAATACTGATTGAATATCCTAATTACAGAAAGCAACATTTCCGGCTTTTATTCTGTAAACCTCTCTGGACTATCCGAAGAAAATAAACACGCAGATAATAAGAAGAATCTGTAAGAAAACATAAAACTTAAATGCGACACAGCACGAAAACATCTGCCAAATACGGGAAGACGCATATCCAAAGGGAATATCAATACACTATAAAAGCTAACATGGCGAAAGCACCCAAGACAAAACTCGCATGTTTACAGATGAGTGCGGACATTCTTTGATATAGCATAAGTTAGACGTAGATTCGACGATACAGGCGACGGGAAAGCAGACAAATATGTATAGGAAGGACATTAGCTAAGTGCTGAGTGGTTAGGATTACATTCTAGGATTGGACGAACCCCATTCACACTTTATGGTTCTTTTATAACAACCAAGCATTCCCAGGTCAAGCAGAGTAGGTCTAACTATATTTCGATATCCTTTTGATGTTATATTGCAGTGGTAACAGTTGTCCTATTGAAGAAACACCTACAATGTACTCCCTTATTTCATCATGGTAGCTTGAGCTCGTTAGTTCATGTCCTTAGCCAGAACTTCAACGAAGAGATGTTCTTCTTTGTGGTTGGTAACGAAGATGGTTATCATCTTATAGTGCCTATACTGCAAGGACCATCCTTGTCGACATGTCAGTCTGGCATATAGACAAAAGAGCATCTTGCCTTGTTTTTGAGTTCGTAATTTTCTCCTGGCAGAATTGTTTTCATTCGAAAAATATAACATGTCTTCACAGATCACTGGACGTTTACATACGACTCGGTTTAATTATATTTCGGCTCGTATCGAACGTGCGAATACGGTTCAGATCGAGGTCTGTGGTGCGCTCAATGTTGATCATATCTTTCAGTCTTTCGATTTCAGCTAAGAATGAGTCTGTGGAATGCTTCTCTTGCTTTTTTCTTTATAGTTTATATAGTGTATATACATCAGTAGTGTATTAGTGGTAACACAGTAACGGTAGCCCACAACAAAGATGTTCAATACCATAATACCATACTGTCTGTTGATATTGAGTGTCCGACAACATATCAGATGCATTGCATCATATTATAACGTGCAAATTTGGCGACCATTTATAGTGCTCTCCTCATGCCGGATCTACAGGCTCCGTTTCTTTGAGTTAGAGGGCACATATATAAACGTTAAGTATATGAAACCCGCTCTGCCTAGATATATGATGTTTTTTTTTTCCAGTTAAATACTTCGGTTACTTCTCTCCAAACGTTCTGTAACGTGTCTCATATATCTTGAAAACAGTATCAATTAAAAGTCTTCCTCTTTTCCACAGGTAGATTAATTTCTTTTTTACTGCAATGCATAGAAAACTGACGAATGTCCAGAGTAGGATAATCAGTGCTGATGTTAATGAATACGATACCATCCAAATACCATTTGCAGTTAACATGTTTCTCTTTCTTCAAGTCTATGATGTCTTATCGATATTTTCCAAGCTTCACGCAAAACATTTTCATCTAAACAGGAAAATTCACATCTTTTTGGGGTTGATACTCCATTCTCATGCCACCGAACGTAACCTGATTTTTCTACGTAGTATCCGTTTCCAAGATACAATTAATTATTCTCCAAAAGGATATCGACATACTCTTAAAGTTGCATTGGAAACGTTTTCTCTCCGTTACTTTGAAAGTAGTCATTTTAAAGGAGCAGAGGAATTATTGACATATAGATTTCGGTAACAAATTTAGCAGTTCGTCCCAAATTCTTACAACCGAACAGAAATGCTTGTATAAACATCAGGACAATATTGATAGGTTTCTCTGTGTGTGTGTGTGTGTGTGTGTGTGATTTGGATTTTCAACGTATCTTTAACAACTTTTCAGTGATATCACTACGCGGTCACATTATCCTGACACCAGACCGACCAGTCATAACACTAACTTCTTAATGCTGAGTGCCTAGCTAGGCAGCTATAAGTACAATTTTTATAAGTCTTTGGTATGAGTCGGCCGGGGTTCAAACACCTGACCTTCCGCATCCGAGGCGGACGCTCTAACCACTAGGCCACCGAAGCGGTCTGTAAGGTATCTAAAGCTACGTTTATACATGTGAAGTTTGATGACGTCAACAACTTAAACGTCTAATATACTTTGTGAATTAAGTCACTGACTCAGATTCAAACAATGTCATTCAAGGTCACTTCCAATACTAGGTACTCCTAGTCAATCATGATCATAGGTGTCACTTATAAAGTCATCTGCACATAAATAGTCGATAGGTATGTAGTTAGGGCTCTGCCTAAGTCATTGGTCATCGACTCTTATCAGGTCATAGGTCACATGTTTACTCACATAACGGTTGTAGCGCAGGTATCTTATACGTACTAAAAATGACAGTTTCCTTCTCACTTTCGTGTCGTAGAATGGTTTATACATCAAGCTCCGTATGTAAGATGAGATTAAGAAATGATCTGCAGATATGAACATTATTCCTTTTTGACAGTTTCTTTATGTATATAATAATCTTTTCGTACCACGTGATACTCTGTCAGGTAAACGTGATGCGTCTGGGACAGAAAGAAAAGGTGTTTTATAAACCTTTTCAGGATCAATATTTAAGATGAATCTATTTTTAATCCCCTAAACAATGTTGCATAGCACCACCTAAAAGATTGTGTAACAACTCTGATTGATGTTAGGAATCTTTAGTTTATTGTTACAAGTCTATTCTATTAAAATAAGAAGCAGAAAAGAGTGAAGACAACAAGCTTTGCAAAAATGTAGGAAATAATTTATTTCACTAGAATGCAAAGTGAAAAATGAGGAAAACGAACTTACGATATTGCGAATTAAATCCAAAATAATCCAAGAATTAAGAACATAAGTCCAGGTAATAAAAAATCCTGAAAAAGACTCAGTTCAAGTCCCAAAGAGAGTCAAAATTGAAGGCGACGCGTCTTTTATGGTCTGCAAAATGCTGATGTGTCAACACTCTCTTGTTAAATCACATAAATATTATTCCAAATTTGAATTCAATATAAATTCCAATGAATGTCTTTATCTAAGAATTTTATCAGAGCACTTTTGTATTTCCATTGAATTCAATAACTTGAAGAAAATAAATTCATCCAAACTGATCATAGCATAATACAACTTAAAGTGCTAGATGTTAAAGCTCATCTGGTAAAATCATCACAGTCACAAGATTATATAGTTCTCTGCTTTACCTCAACGTCACAATTAGTAGTTTAAAAAAGCAACCATTGCCTAATGGAAAATAACCTTCTAGAATGATCTAATGAGTCTTGCTTATTTACAACATAATAGCCTATAAAATTCACTTGGGAATCTCAAAAACCCTAACCCGTGATCATCATATTTACTCTTTCTTTACCTGAATAATAATTCGGCTAATAAGCTCTGAGAATAATGAAGCTATTATTAGTATCTTACATAACTGAACTATAAAAGAAAAAAGTCAATCCGGACGAACAGAAATGAATTCAGTTTTGGACAGGGTCAAGTCCAGCAAAAATGCTACATTACAATAACATCAGTTAATGAGAGAGAGAGAGAGAGAGAGAGAGAGAGAGAGAGAGAGAGAGAGAGAGAGAGAGAGAGAGAGAGAGAGAGAGAGAGAGAGAGAGAGAGAGAGAGAGAGAGAGAGAGAGAGAGAGAGAGCTATGTGCAAGAGAGAGAGAGAGAGAGAGAGAGAGAGAGAGAGAGAGAGAGAGAGAGAGAGAGAGAGAGAGAGAGAGAGAGAGAGAGAGAGAGTCAAATGAGATACGTATGAATCCATTTCCAGCTCAGAGAAGAGCTGTTGCTACAAGGAAAAGAACATTTTAACCTTATACATTATAATTGGCAACGGAATGTAAATTATGTGTCTGCACAACCTGATCTTTGCAAAATCCAACATGGCTGTAGTGCTGTGAGAATGCAATGGAACGGCGTTCCCATACTTTTCGCTTATCATTATCCCCCACCCCTCATCTGAGTATCACGCGTTCCCTCTCTTCTCCACTGCGTCTATCACTTCTTTATTTAGCACTACACAACCGCTACCCAGTATAGAATTCTTGAAAATTTATCTTTACTAAAGAAAAAACGAGAATTGTTTTATGTTACAGTCACGACTGAGACTGGCAATAATGGTAAAATCAGGTGGGTTGTTTTGTACCCGGGTAAGAAAATCTCGATATCCTATTTTTCTTACTGAATATTGCTCATTTTGAATTAATTTAAGCTCTTAAAACAGATGATCGATGAAAAATATATATTTCCTACAAAAGACAATCATTTATCGTTAAAAAGTAACTTTTTCGTGAAAATACAAAATGTATTCTCTTTGCACATTGCATACTGATATGCTGGTGGCAGTATCATGTTCAATTAAAACATATTCAAGTTTGGTTTGATCAGAAAAATTTATGTATCATTCCCTTAAATATGTCAGCTAAATATTGCCAGGTAAATTATGTTCTGTGAGAAAAGTTTGCACTTTCAAGTCAATTTTCCTTCAGAAAATGAATAAAAGGCAGATTTCCTTAGAAAGCTTGAAAAAGACAGTCAAATGTACGTGGCAGACTGTCCAGAAATAATCATTTAATACAGCGTGAATTTTCATTAAAGAGTTTGCTTAACTAGTGATAATCAGTCCACTTCCAGTCCAACTAGTAGTAGATTGAAATTGAATTTCTGGCTCAGTTTTATTACTGCGTGATGAAAGAGTGAGTGCCTCCTTTCTAATCTATTACTGGGTTACGGGATATCTGGCTGACTTTTATCCTTATCTTAGTGTTGTGGCTTACTCTGTTAGAGTTATACTTTGTAATACAGTGAATAATGTCTCTTCGATGTTATCCGTGGAGTATAGATCAATTGGGATAGAGTAAGGAGAGCAAAAGTCCAGTGCCTGGCTTAATTGAGGAAGAGTCTCAGGAGTGGCTGAAGGGTGCCAAGGAGCTGATAGTGTTCGAGAATAAGGATTTGAGTTATGTGCCTGAGATGATTTATCTTGAAGAGAGCGAAGAAGAGAAGATCGAGATGTGGGTGAGACGTAGTCAGTCATCATCGTCTGTTGCATAGATACAATCACCAGTATTATATAAAACGCTGAAGCGTTTTCGTCTGCCATAGCCACGGTGAGATCAGTTTTATTACTGGCTGAACAAGGTGACTCGTGGTCACTTGTTAGGTCGTCCAAAAGTCATAAAATTTGAGCATGTGTTCAAGCATATTTTTGAGAAGATGGGTCGTCACGAATTTGCATCGAAATGTAAGACTGTCTCTGGGAAGAACATGGGTGAAGAGTACGATAAGATCATATCGGAGGCGATATCGTAGTCAAGAAGGTTATAAGAATCCATGAGTTGAATTGTTCAGGATAGCCAAACCACTTGACGAGATTTTTGACCTTGGTAGAAATCACTTTTTCTACTCTGAAGAGGTTTTGTGTGGTTTTTTGTGTGTGATTCCTGTTCGTAAAAAGAACCTTGGATGGATTCTCCTGAGGAATCTTGAGTATGTAGGTCATTTGAATGGTTTTTATAATGATATCGACGACGAAGACTTCTTCAATCCAATTGGGAGTGTATATGTTTTCGAACGCGGATTTTTGTATGATAATTTTAAATTAGTTACCTACTTGGTATCGGGATCTAAATAATTAAGGAGTCCGTGACCTGTTGTTATTGGTAAAAAAAACTCTGGGTTTATCGAATAGGCTTCAACGGTAATCATTCGAAGAATGCTGCGGTGTCAGACATGATTGTATTGGTCGATGATGCCTGGCAAGAAATCTAAGTATCCACAGATGTTATCGGTGGTGAATCTCTTCCACGTACGATTTTTGAGAGTTCTTTAAAACCATTCGACGACGAATGTTTTGATTGGATTGTGTATGCTGTAGAAAGTGACTCCATTTTTTAAAAGCCAATCTGAAACGGCGTTGTTATAAAATTCACAATAATTCACTGAGCTTTCGTGCAATTCTATTCAGCGTCTCAACGATAGAAGTTCCTTGTTTGTTTTTTAAAGGAAATACCCGGATGAATTTGCTGAACAGCATCGATGACCCTAATGAGATATTTAAAATGATCGTTACATGCGCTTTAATTCTCTCATGTCGACGAGATCTGCTGACCATATATCGTCTGCGGAAACTAAGATACTTTTTAATCAGAATGATCTTGGTAACATATATCTTGTTGCATCGCGATGGCATCAAAGACATTGAAGAGTTCTTGACCTGTCAGTGGCTGACAGTTTTCATCCAGTTTTTGTTTTAATGGATTCCACGGTCTAGTGTATGTATGTCCTGGCTACATCGATCATCCACTAGGTTTGGGAAGTTTTTTGATCGGCGCATGGACATATATGGCCCCACTGAGAATTTGTCGCTGCACTAAATATTTGCAGTCTCCCACATACATTTTTTTTTCATGAAGGTCTTCTCAGTTCGTATCGAGATCGCGGTGTCGGCAATGATACAGTTTTTTTTAATACAGATCATCTCTACATTTTTGTGTTCTCCGTTGCCATGACATTACCTGTGACGATGTGTGCTTTGCTAGAACCACATGCGGAACACCTCGATTTAATCACGCAGCGAATATATTTGCTGACCATTACGACAGGGTCAACACTCTCCGTATTGTCATTGCACTTAAGACATCATGAGTTGTTATATTAGGTATGTTCATTATTTTTCCAGATCCAAAACGTTGTCTCGACGGAGAATTGTTCTTTATGTCTGCTCTGCTCTGAATATAGTCAATGCAGTTCCATTCACACAAGCTATCGCTGATATCCTGAAGTTGAAAAGAGTTGTACACAGCTCCATTGTTCGCTGTTTGGAGGTAACGCACGAGTTTATTTGGAAGAGGTAAACAAAGCGAATCGAAAAACTCTCGCAGCAGTGGGGATCTTTAAAGACTGATACGCATTGAGTGCCATGTCCATCGTGATAATTGTGCAGGTTAATCACGCAGATTTCGTAGGGTTGATGTGCTCTGGAAGCTGATTGTTTAGAGAAGACGACCCTGAAATGTTGAACGTTGTGTCCAAAGAGGTG